AGCTAGTGGGAAATTTGGCCTTGTTTTGTAAACCATTAATGTCTAGTTCCATGGAAGTGGCCACAATTCTTAGTGAGTTCTTAAGGTGCTCGTCAGAAATGGTTGTTTGAATGTTGTTCTTCATGTGCTTCATAATTGAAAACAGCTGCTCACAAATGTATGTGCTGCCAGAAAGTGATTTCATGAATAAGGTGTGATTGTGAACTTAAAAATGGAACTACACACGGGGTCACAAAGAAAATAAATGCTAAAAACATGTGATGTTGAAAGGTTTTGTGGGGCCGCATTACTGGTTGTCCTGGGCTGCATGTGGCCCATGGGCTGTAAATTGGACATACCTGTTCTTGTGCATTGCCTGACATCTCAGGCCTCAGAGCCAAGAAGACTTTGCAGGAGATACTGGAGGCCCTGTCTCTAAAGAATAGACTCCCTGACCAGACCCTGAAGTTCCCTTGGAATGTTGGATTCAAACATTACTAGATTCTTGATCTAATGTTTCCCTATGATTAGCATACATAATAGCATTCATTTAATTCATTATTGTTACAGGTGACTGTAAGTAAGAGAAATCAACTCCAGGCAGCTTGAGAGAAGGGAATTTGTCATGTGGACACAGCAGCACCTCATGGGGGCCAAGTTGGGGAAGCAGCTGGGTCCTAGGCAGGGCCAGGACTGGGCGTGGAAAGTTGTTGAGAACCCTGGAGGGGTCTGGTGTCATCACCGTGTTCTTCTCAGGCCTGTCCTGCCCTCTTATTTCTCAGCAGTTGGATTTCTCTTCTTCACAGTCACAGCAGTGGCCCTGGAGCCCTCAGATTTCCATGGTGTTCGTTCAGATATTCAGAAGAAAGTGGATCCTCTTTCTTGGCCCCACCCCATGCTCCATGGGAAGTGTCTGCTGGGCTGCAGGGGGCTGACTTCTGAATCTGGGTCAAGGCAGGACTTTGTGGCACATGCCTGACTATTGTAGGACCACGAATTCATTGGTGGTGGGAGGGGGAATAGCCAAAGAGAAGCTGGTCCTCTGAGTTTAGCTTTGGCAGATGCTGCTTGGAGCAGCCAAGGGTAGGAAATGGGCCCAGACAAGGAGGTCTACCGGGGTCCTGTGGGTGTTTGCAGTTTGGTCACAGTCTCCTTGGATCTGTGGGGACTGTTGTTATTTTCTACTCAGGGTGCTTGCCACCTTTTATTTGAGAAACTACTCTTTCCTAACTCATTCCATGTGCATCAGTTAATCACATTATGCCTCTCTCCCCTGGCCACAGGAGTCAGGTTACATGGGCAGGTGAACCAGGCCTTTACAAGTGACTCACTTCCTGACCATGATGATTGCTGCAGGAATGAGCTCGTGGACCGAGCTAGGCCAATTTGAGTAGACTTGGGAACTTTTCTACCCCAGGATAAATGGGAAAGGCTGACTCTTTGAACTGGTTTTGCCAAGCTGAGAGGAGATGATTTGGGTTTATTAGCATGTATCTCCCCTACCACAAGGTGAAGTCTCCGTGAAGAATGAAGCCAGAACTGTCAGGCCAAGCTGGAGATGGGAGAATCCTTGACAGTCAACCTATTCAAACTCCAGGGCTCGCACAGGGCACTGGGCTCTGGTCCTGTCCTTCTGCCTCTCTGACTCTGGCATGGGCAGGGTGGGGGTGGCCAGAGCTGCTTCCAGCCTCCAGTAGCCAGGCTTGGTGCTTCCCCCTATATGTTGCCACATTTTCTTTCACACTCCTTGGTACATCCTTATGTCTACGTCTCCAGGCTCCTCATGTTACTGAAATGCAATACAGAAAGCCAATCACTGAGATGATGAGTATTGCCAGGGAAGGAGGCTTTTATTTGGGTTACATCAGCCAGAGAAATGGGAGTCAAAATTCAAATCCATCTTTACCAACTGACTAAAAATTGGAGGTGTAATAGCAGAGAAGAAATGTAGCAGTGTTGGGGGAAAATGAGAATTAGGGAGGGGTAAGAAAATCATGACTGATGAGAGGTCTGGCATTTCATTGTCTAGATGTGGTGATCTGGTGAGTTTCAGTTCCTTGATACCATCTGGGAGGACTGAGGGTCTATTTCCTGAGAAAGGAACTCAGACAAGACAAATGTAAATGTCATGTTAAGATCGGGGAGGTCAATTTCTACATTTATTAAAAAAACCATAACCATTCATGGGGAAGTTGGACTGGTTTCACTCTTACTCACCATGTTCCCAACATCCCCATGGCCTCTAACTCCCATCACATCCCTCTTCCATGCTCCCTCCCTTTTCATAGCCTCGAAGAACCTCTGCCACCTCTAACCCCCAGGATGCACCCTTCCTTCCACACTCCATCACTCGGGGGAGCTTTGTGTCCACCCCCTACAATGACACTCCCCCTTCAAGATGGTGCTCCTCCTTGTCTACTTCTTACCTTCCCAACCCCAGCGGCCAGGGCTCTGAGGGCTCTCCAGCGCCCTCTGCAGGAGCTCGTGGCTGGCCTCCCACCTCTGGCCTCCCAACTCCTGGGACTGAGCAACTCTCCAGTACTCTCCTAGCTAACACCCTTCAGGGGCTTCCTGTGCCCTTAGAAACAACTCAAACCCATCAGCCAAATACTTAGTTGCTTTCACTGTTAAATTCTCCTTCCCCAGACTGTAGCCTCCAGAGCTAAGTGCCTCTGGTTTTCTCCGCTAGATTTCGGTCAACGAGCACAATGCCTGGCATAGGGTGAATGAGTAAATGCACAACGAATCTTCGTTTACCTTTTCTGCCTTACTCTACTGCATTTAGTTCCCAGCAGTAGTTTGCAGTTTGTGATGACAGACCTTTGTTCCCGAGAACCTCTCAGCCCAGCAAACTATGACTCCTCTTTTACCTCCATTTAATTCCTACTTTCCTCCTACACAGAACAAGCATTCTTTCTCCATCTAAATGTTCTCAAATTTCCCCAGCTCTAAACTGTAATTTATTAGTTGAATTGAATCCCAGGTTGAAGGACCATAGAGGGCAGGAGTACTCTGAGCCCTGCTTCCTGGATCACATTAAATATAGGACCTGGGGACAATCTTCCCCAACCCTCTTGCCCTGATAAAGTCACATGAGTTCCCTTGGCATGAAGATGAAAGCACTCAGTACCATATCAGAGCATTAGAGGACTAAACGCCACACTCACTACCGTGGCAGAACCGGCCTGCCTTACTCTCTGCACCTCCCGGTAACATTGCCCCTGAGGAAGATACATAAGGCCCCACAGGTGCTACTTACAGCCAGCAAGTACCCAGGCCTTTACACCATGCCTCTCTGCTCCCTTCCCCTAAGGTTAGAAATCGTTGCACCAGGCCCAGTTACAGTTTGTACTCTCAGAAGCACCAATTCCTGGGAGATGACTAGGAAGTGACTGCAACATTTCAAAGTCCAGAATCTGCATGGTAAACACTCTGTTGGGGTGGCTAGATACGCTTTGGCTGGGCTGACAGAGAGCCAACCAGTGCAAACATGTGGCGATCTGGAATAAAGCGATGAAGTAAAGTCATGCTCATAGTGACGACATGACAACCAAATCTTATTAACATTATCCTGATATAATTTGTTCTTGGTAAACATGTTTTTGAAAAGACCAACTAAATTTATATAAAGAGACCAGGTGCAATGGCTCACGCCTATAATCCCAGCAATTTGGGAAGCTGAAGTGAGAGGGTTACCTGAGCCCATGGGTTCGACACCAGCCTGGGCAACTTGGCGAGACCTCATCTCTACAATAAATCAAAAAATTAGCTGGGTGTGGTGGTGCATGCCTGTAGTTCCAGCTCCTTGGAAGGCTGAGACAGAAGGATTGTCTGAGCCCAGCGGGTCAAGGCTGTGGTGGACGTGAGAGTGCCACTGCCCTCCAGCCTGGGTGACAGAGTGAGACTCCAACTCAAAAAATAAATAAATAAAATAAAGTCATATAAAGAAAACAGCATATTAGATCAATGTATTTTCTTTTTTCCTCTTTTTAAATTATTTTTATTTTAAATATGGAGTACAATTCAGGGTTAGGTACATAAGGGGTCATCGTACAGGTAAAGTGTGGGCACCCTTATTGATGTTATGTGCCTCTCCCCTCCCCTGGCAGTATCCCACTACTGCCAATCCCCTTCTTATAGTATTATGGCAAATGTTCAGGGTCCACTAATGAGTGAGTACATGTAGTACTCAAATCTTTGTTTCTGTGATAGATCACTGTGTATTAGATCAATGTATTTTCAAAGTTTATTTGAATGACTATTTACAACATTTTTATTTCTGCAGATAGGTGCGTTTCTTTTTTTCATAAAAGGAAAGCAGAGCCGGGTTCGGTGGCTCAGCCTGTAATCCCGCACCTTTGGGAGGCTGAGGTGAGTGGATTGCCTGAGCCCGCGGGTTTGACACCCCCCTGGGCAGCGAGACCTCATCTCTACAATAAATCAAAAAATCAGCCGGGCGTGGTAGCGCATGCCTGTAATTCCGGCTACTTGGAAGGCTGAGGCGGAAGGATCGCCGGGGCCCAGCAGGTCGAGGCTGCGGTGGCCGGGAGCGGCCACTGCACTCCAGTCTGGGCGACCGAGTGAGACTCCAACTCAAAAAAAAAAAGGATAGCAGGAGAAAGGATTATATAAAACTATGCTTCCTAGGCAAAATGGTGGGGCAAAACCACCGTGCAGTGTTTAAAGAATAGCCATGAAGCACAAGGACAGGAACAACAGACACTGGGCCCTGTTAAAGAAGGGAGGGTAGGAGGGAGAGACAAGGGATACAAAATCACCTATTGGATACCAGGCTTACTACTGGGAGAGGGGGAAGGCTTCTCAGTAGCCCAAACCTCGCCTTCACGCAATATACTTTCTTAAGTAACAAATCCTTACAGGTACCCCATGATTCTAAAATTAAAAAAATATATATGATCATGAAGCTCGTGATTGCCCTGGTGTGCTTAGAATGTAAAAGATTTGGATTTCAAAATCAGAAAATAATGACATAGAAATAACATATGCTGCATGGAGCTTTGATATAAAATAAGCTCATCTTTAGAGACATTTGGAATAATAACCTGGCTGCCATGCAGAGAGGACTGACTGGGCTAATAACTCCCATGGAGCACTGGGAAAGGATTTACAGATAAATCCTCTCACAGGTGGGAAACAATAGTGTGAGATCTGTTTGGTATAGCAAAGGGATTCAGGGATATGCGTTGCCTTCTCCTGGCAGAGTGACCTCAGTGCTTTGCATCCTCTCGTGTCAATGAAGCAGGAAGCTCTCAGCCAACATGTGTCCGCTTTTCAGTTTCTTCTGGATTGTTCCTCAGCCTCAGTTTTGTTTCCAGCCTCTGCTTCCATTCTTCTCTGAGCCTGAAAATAGAAACACAACACAAACAGATGGAGCATCCGTCTCCATGGTTGTTGGTTCAGGGAAGCTTCCTTCTTTTTTTTTTTTTGCCCCCTTGAACTTGTGTGTTTGTGTTCAGGTTTTAAAAGGCACACAGAGGACTTGCAGATTTTTATATACATACATATATATGTATAATATTTATAATTTAGTTATGTATATTTATTTTTACAATTGAGATTAACAGACTCTCATTTCTGCTAAAAGTATTCTACTCTTTTTTTTTAGTCGGAGTCTCACTCTGTCACCCAGGCTAGAGTGCAGTGGCACACTCACAGCCACTGCAGCCTTGACCACTGGGCTCAGGTGATCCTTCTGCCTCAAACTTTCAAGTAGCTGGAACCCCAGGTATGTGCCACCACACCTGGCAAATTTTTTGCCTATTGTAGAGACGACGTCTTGCCAAGTTGCTCAGGCTGGTCTCGAAATCCTGAACTCAGACAATCCTCTTGCCTCTACCTCCCAAAGTGCTGGGATTACAGGCATGAGCTACCGCGCCCAGCTAGTATCCTAATCTTAGTCCTCTGAATTTTCCTTTGAAAGTACAGCATCTCTAAGGTCAGGGGGTAATAAACCTGCCAATCTAGAATTCTTTACACAGCAAAGCTATCTTCTGAAAAAAGAGGTAAAATAAAGATGTTTGTAGACATACAAAAACTGGAAGACATTAATGATGTATTATGGAGTTTATAACATATGAGGAAATAAAGTTTTACTTTGCAAAATAACTCCCATGGAGCACTGGGAAAGGATTTACAGATAAATCCTCTCACAGGTGGGAAACAATAGTGTGATAAATCCTCTCACAGGTGGGAAACAAAGCCAAGAGTGAAGAAATGGAAATATACCATTGTAAGGGTCTTATACTACACAGGAAATGATAAAACATCACCTGATGGTAGATTGTGATAAGTTAAGGACATATGCTATAAATCCTAAAGCAACCACTAAAATAACAGAGTTATAGTTACAAAGCCAACAGAAGAGATTAAATGACATCACAAAAAAATACTCAGCAGATCCAAAAGAAGGCAGAGAAAGAGTGAAAGGAAATAAAGAACAGATGAGAGAAATAGGAGACAATAGTAAGATGGTAGATTTAAAATAAATCATGCTATTTAGTATTCATGGTATAAACAACGCAGTTAAAATGCAAAAGATTGTCAAATTGGATTAAAATAAACAGTACCAAAATATATGCTGCTTATAAGAAACCCCTTTAAATATGAAGACACAAATAGTAAAAACTAAGAGGATGAAAAGATATTTCATGTTAACCCTAGTTGGAGTGGTTATATTAATAACAGACAAAGTATATTTCATAGCAACAAATATTACTGCTGGGCGTGGCAACTCATGCCTGTAATACCAGCACTTTGGGAGGTGGAGGAGAGAGGATTGCCTGAGTCCAGGAGTTTGAGACCAGCCTGGGCAACTTGGCGAGACCTCATCTCTACAATAAATAAATTTTAAAAATTAGCTGGGCATGGTGGCACATGCCTGTGGTTCCAGCTACTTAGAAGACTGAGGTGGAAGGATCACCTGAGCCCAGCAGGCTGAGGCTGTGGTGGCCATGAGTGTGCCACTGCACTCCAACCTGGGCAGCAGAGTGAGATTATGACTGAAAAAATATATAAATAATCAAAGAAAATGAGGGTAATTTTGTAATAAAGGAGTCAAGTTTTCAAGAGGATGTAACAATCTTAAGCATTTATGTACCTAATAACAGAACTTCAAAATACATGAAACAAAATGTATAAGAACTGTAAGGAGAAATAGACAAATCTGCAATTACAGTTAGTGATTTCAATACCCATCTTTCAACAATTAATAACACAAGTATACAAGAAATCAATAAGTATGTAAAACACTTGAACAACACTATCAACCAACTTGAAATAATTGACATTTATAGAGCATTGTCCTCCAACAACAACAGAAAGCACATTCTTTTCAAATATACACGGAACACTTTCCAAGATAGAAAATATTCTCGGCTATAAAGCAAGCCTCGATAAATTTAAAAGGATTCAAGTTTATACAAAGTATGTTCTCTGACCACAATAACAGGATTAGTATCAAAAGCAGAAAGTTATCTGGAAGATCCCCTAAATATTTCAAAACTAAATAACATAATTCTAAACAATCCATAAACCAAAGAAACAATCATAAATGGAAATTTTTTAAAGGATTATAAGTCAAAAATATAAAATAGGGATAAATCTAACAAAAGATATTCAATATATGACCTATATACTGAAAACTGTAAGCCATTGCTGGGAGAAATTAAAGAAGACCTAAATAAAGGGAGATATATGAGGAGGACCCAAAAAAACCTGGAATTATCTTTTTTTTGAAAGCAGGATTTATTAAGAAGACAGAAAAGCTTCCACAGTGGGAGGAGACCTGAAGGGGTTGCCCTGGAATTATCTTTTAGAGGGCAGGCTCCTCATAGTACAGGCTTCCCCTGCTAGGAAAGTGTTCCAGGAACCCATCCGCATCAGTGTACCAGCTAGTGTTGCTGTAAGAGGCTGTACTCAGTTTCAGTGGATTTTTTTTTTTTTGGAGATTCTTTCAACACATTTGCCCAATTCATGATGGGTGATTTACAAGCATGCCCACCCACACTGAGATGAGTGTTCAGCAGTTTTTTACCAAAAAAAAAAAACAGCATAACTTCCATTCCCCACCCTCCCTATTCACCAGATCTCACCTCAAGTGTCTTTTTTTCTGTTTCCTTGAATGCAAAGATTTCTTAAAGGAAACATTTTGCTGATGTGGAAGAGGTGAAACAAAAAACAGCAGAGGCACTAAAAGGCATCAAAATTGACAAGTTCAAAAACTGTTTAAACATGTAAGAATAAATACACAATTTTTTACAAATAGATTCCAGGGTTTTTTTTCTCCCCCCTTGTATATTGTGCTCATATATCAGAAACTCTAAATATTGTTGGAATGTCAATTCTCCCCATATTGATTCACGGATTCAATTCCATTCAAATCAAACCCAGCAAGCTTTAAAAAATAATAGATATTGACAAGTTCATTTCAAAATTCATGTGGTAATGCAAAAGACCTAGAATAACAAAAACAGTTTTGAAAAAGATGTGAAACAATACTTGACTTCAAGAATTATTATAAACCTAAGTAATCAAAACAGCATGACATTGATGCCAATGGACAGATATATCAATGGAACAGAATAGAGAATACAAAAACAGACCTATGCATATATGAATAATTAATTTTCAAAAACAGTGCAAAGGGAATACAGTGGAGAAAAGATTTTCAGCAAATGGTGGTGAAATCACTGGACATGCAAAATGTGAACTTCTCCATACCCCTGTTGTATTAAAAATTAAGTCTGAGTGAATTATTAACCTAAATGTCAAGCTTCCAACCATAAGTCTTCTAGAAATAAAATACAGAAGATAATCTTTGTGACCTTGGGATAGGCAAAGTTTTCTTAGATTTACAATACCATTACGACACCAAAAACAAAATCTATAAAAGTAAATTTTGGGGGGATAAATTAGACTTGAATGAAAGTGGAAACTTCTCTGCAAAATAATAAACCCAAAGAAGGTAAACAGAAGACAATGACGAAGAGAAGAATCTAGTGAAATTGTTTATATTTCATTAAGATATAAAGATCAATTCAAAAAGTGAGAAAACAATAAATAGAAATACAGAAAAAGAAATAAAACACTCTAAGTTACTAAGATGGAAGAAACAGGCCAATTATAACAAATGTAGAAGAACTAAACTCACCACTGAACGACTAAAATATGTGAGATCGGAAAACATCCACTCCAACTATGTGCTGTTTAAAAAAGACACCCCTAAATTATAGGGAGAGATAAATTGAAAATAATAAGTTGGGCAATATCCTCCGGTCCCTTCCCTTAGTGGGAGCTTTTCTGTCCTCTTAATATATCCTGCTTTCTAAAAATAAAAATAAAATAAAAAGTTGGGGAAAATATATATAAGGCAAATACTAATAAAAGCAAAGTTGGTGTGGTTATACTAATAGCTGATAAAAAGACTGTTAAACAAAAAGCACCATCAGGATAAAGAAAGTCACTGCTTAAAGATAAGAAAGTTTACCTTACCATGAAGATATTACTCTTCTAAACATGAATGTACGTAATAAAATAACCTCTGCCAGGCATGGTGGCTCACGCCTATAATCCCAGTACTTTGGCAACCGAGGCAAGAGGATTGCCTGAGCTCAGGAGTTCAAGACCAGCTTGAGCAACAACCTTGTCTCTACAATAAATAAAAAATTTAGCCATGCGTGATGGTGCATGCCTGTGGTTCCAGCTACTTGGAAGGCTGAGGTGGAAGGGTCAACTGAACCCAGTAGGTCAAGGTTGCAGTGGCCGTGACTGTGCCACTGCACTCCAGCCTGTGCAATAGAGTGCGATTCCGACTCAAAAATAAAATAAAATAAAATAACCTCAAAATATATACAGGGAAAAAAAGAATGAAACTACTTGAACTATGAGTAGGTGATGAAGAGAAAGGAAAATTGTATTATTTGTTTTCCAGGATGACATTTTAAAAATATCTTTGTTATAGAAGATTTCAGCATATAGAAAAGTAGAGCGCTTAGGAATAAAGAAACCTCACCTCCTTGCTTCAGCACTCTTGGCTAATCTTGTTTCCCCCATCTTTCCTTCCCTGCATTTTAAATAAAATAACTATATTCAGTTATTTTGTTCTTATAATATAAGAACTCTTAAAAAGAGCTACCTTGCAGTCATCACACTTAAAATAGTGACCAGAGGTACTTGATATCATCAAATAAATATTAAGTCAGTTCACAATTCCCTGATTGTCTTATAATTTTTAAGTTTGGTTGATTGAATCAGTATCTAAATAAGGCACATACATTCCTATTTGTTGCTATATCTTTTTTTTTTTTTTTTTTTTTTTTTTTTTAAGTCAGAGTCTCATTTATCACCCAGGCTGGAGGGCAGTGGAATGACCATGGCTCACTGTAGCCTCAACCTCCTGGGCTTAGGTGATCCTTCCACCTCAGTCTCGCAAGTAACTGGGACTATAGGCACTACTTATAAACTATATAAAACTATAGTTAACTATATATATATAACTATATAAATATATATATTGTATACTATCTACTATATATTTTTGTAGCGACAAGACCTCTCTATGTTGCCTAGGCTGTTCTCAAACTCATGGGCTCAAGCAATCCTCTCACCTTGGTCTCTCAAAGTGCTAGGATTATAGGCGTGAGCCACCTCGCTGGACCTTTTAAGTTTTAAATTTAAGTTTCATTTAATATGTAAATTCTTCCTCATCTTTCCCCTTCCCTTACTTTTTTTTTTCAAACTAGATTGTTCTGGAGAGCTTGCACAATCTGTATTTTGCTGACTGTATTCCTGTGTGACTTTAACCTATTACTCTGTTTCCTGTATATCCTGCTAGTTGGTGGGTAGAACTAGAGGTTTGATCAGATTAGGCTCTTTTTTTCTTTTTGTTGACAAGACTCCTTCACAGGTGACATGATGGACTGCCATCCCATCTGTCTGGTTGTATCTCTTTCTCTCTCTATTTTTTTTTTGTGAGTCAGAGTCTCCGTCGTCCAGGCTGGAGTGCAGTGGCATGCTCATGGCCACCACAGCCTCTACCTGCTGGGCTCAGGCAATCCTTCTGCCTCAGCCTTCCAAATAGCTGGAACTACAAGTGTACTACTTCGTCCAGTTAATTTTTGATTTATTGTAGAGATGAGGTCACGCCAAATTGCCCAGGCTAGTCTTGAACCCCTGAGCTCAGGCAATCCTCTCGTTTCGGCCTCCCAAAGTGCTGGGATTACAGGCTTGAGCCACCACACTTGGTCCCAACTCACTTTCATTAGATGTTGCCAAATGTCAACAGCTTATTTCTATCAGTCCTTTGTCATTTGGGACCCTCTAGCAGGAACTGTGGTCTAGGAGGGAAGGAGTCACTGCTAGAAAACAGGACTGAAAACAGGAAGGGTGTGGGGAAGTTCTCTCATCTCCTGTTGGCAGAATCCGGCCTGAAGCCAACGACAAGGTGATCCAAGAAACAGCACGGGAGTAGTTGCTGACGGAGGCAAACTGCTGGGATTGGGGGTCAAAGCAGAGATAATCCAGCCTGGCAGGGAAGCCAGGAATGAGGGAGTGTTGGGTGAGAGCAGGAAGCCAAAAAAGCTCTGTCAAGAGATGGATCCCCTGGTCCCCTTGGAACCAGCCAATCATGCCTTTCTTGAGCACCTATTATATGTTCAGCACTGCAGTAGGAGCTTTGGAGAATACAGAAAAAATAGACAAAAATGGCTATGTCTCCGTTCCACATGTATGGCAAGCTCTTCCCCTGCTTCAGGCTATTTGCATATGCCACTTCTGCCTAGGGTACTCTCCTCCATTCTCCCCCCTTTTTTTTTGAGTTGGAGTCTCACTCTGTCGCCCAGACTGGAGTGCAGTGGCCGCTCCCGGTCACCGCAGCCTCCACCTGCTGGGCTTCGGCGATCCTTCCACCTCAGCCTTCCAAGCAGCTGGAACTACAGGCGCGCGCTACCACGCTCGGCTAATTTTTTTTTATTTATTGTAGAGATGAGGTCTCGCCAAGTTGCCCAGGCAGGTCTCAAACCCGCGGGCTCAGGCAATTCACTCACCTCAGCCTCCCAAAGGCGCGGGATTACAGACTGAGCCACCAAGGCCAGCTCATTCTCCCCCTTTGTCCAACTCTTTGGGGTGTGGGGAATTGTGGTGCTAGATATCTGGGGAGCCAACCTCAGAGTGAGGGCCAGTAACTTCAGCGTGCCACCACGTCTGCACACCAGCTCTACAAGCAGCTGCACCCCAGGGGTCAAGTGACCAACTCTGAAACTGGGACAGCCAAGGGACTGCAGAAAATAATACTCGGACCCTGCAGTGGACAAAAGGGAGATGGAGCATCTGTGTCGGCTTCTGGACCAATTCCAAAGTGGGAAAGTTTGGGCACCTCCCTGTGTGCATCAGTAGCTGAGATGGTATGTCTACTAATGAACGAAAGAGATCAAAGGCGTGCTCCCCTTGTTCACCCTCACAGGGCAGTGAATCTCCAACATCTCTCTTCCTTCTCTTACAGTCTGTTTCTCTAATCAGGAGGACACAGACTTCGTGAGACTTGGTAGCTCACCTCAGAGACCCAAAGGGATGAACCCAGGTAGCCCGGCTGCAGTCTCTGCCTTTTACTGTTCTGAGCTCTCTCTTGCCCTCGCCCACTCTTGCCACTTTCTTTTTGTCTCTTCTCCTTCAAGCCATGTCTTCCTTCGCCATCTGCTACTGCTATATTAGATCCTGGATTACACACATGTGCAGAAGAGGGAGGGGAACTAACATTTCTGAGCCCTGACCTTAGGCCCTTGCATCATGCTGGGTGCTGGAGGTGAATTTTCCTAGTCAAGCCTCCCAGCAACCCAATGACCCAAGACTGTCTTTTCCATCTTGTGAAGGGACAGCATAGAGTGTTGATTAGAGCAGAGACTCTCTGGAGCAAGACTACCCGGGTTTAAATCAAAAGAGGGAATGGAAGATAAATAAGTTAAACTCTTTTGCCATTCCAAGGCTAGAGTTTATTTCCTTGCAGTTTTTTGTTATATGCAGGTAACTCATGCACATATTTTTAATGTTTAACAAACTGCACACTTTGTTTCAAACCTATTTTGTTCACCCCTGAGCTTGTGCCTCTCTAGGAGTTTTGGTTTCTGCATCCTCCTCAAGCCAATTTCACTCCACCTGAGGCCTTTTGTGTGCTCCCCAGGGAACATGAGTTCATCAGTTTTACATTGCTGTAAAGGAATAGCTGGGACTAGGTAACTTATAAAGAAAGAAAATGTGTTTGGCTCACAGTTCTGCAGGGTACTGGCTTCTGCTTGGCTTCTGATAAGGCCTCAGGAAGCTTTTACTCATGGCAGAAGGTCAAGGGGAGTTGGCATGTCACATGGCGAGAGTGGAAGCAAGAGAAAGAGAAGGAGGTGCCAGGATCTTTTAAATAACCAGCTCTCACATGAACTAATAGAGCGGGAATGCACTCTTTACCCTGAGAAAGGCACCAAGTTATTTGTAAGGAATCTGCCCCCGTGACCCAGTCACCTCCCACTAGATCCTATCTCCAATACTGGGGACCGTATTTCAGCATGAGATTTGAAGAAGACAAACATCCAAACTATATCCAAACACAAGCATGATGTGGGACTCTGAGTGGTCTGGGTTAGGGGAAGGAAGATGACAGGAACCTGCAGCCTGTGTGTGAGAGCAGTGAGCTGGCACTGTTTCCATGGTGATGGTGCCTCTAATCTGCCCAGGGGAGTGACTGCGTGCCACTGCTCAGCAGACTCACTGGGCCAGATGAGGACAGACCCAGAGGGGCAGACCCTGGTCAGTACCCTCAGGAACCCGGCAAGGCATCCTGTATCTTTACTCAAAAGAGTTCTGAGAACTGGCCAGTTTCCTTGGCTTGATTGCTTTTCACAGACACGTTTGTGGCTTCCTTGGCATTTAGTGTGGCCCTCATGTACTAGAAAGGTGACATGGTGACAGAAAGGAGAGATTTTGTTTTCAGTTCATAAAGATATAAGAATTATAGAACGTAAGCATGGAAAATTATAATAATTATATTATCTAAGATGCCCATCTGGCATTCTTTTAGGGGAAACCAATTTTGTTTTTATAAAATAAACAAACAAGGCGATAAAGATGTGTCAACGAAGGTTCATTGATGGTCACAAATGTACCACTCTGGTGCAGACGCTGAGAATGGGTGGTTGTGTGTCAGGGACATATGGGAACTTTTGGTATTTTCTGCTGTGCTACTAAAACTGCTCTAGAAAATGTCTATTTTTAAAAGTGAATAAATTTTAAAGAGTACACAAACAAACCACATACTTTCTTAGTGCACTTCTTCCTAGACGATGTTCCTCCGATTCTCGGTAGTAAGTCTGTTTGCCAATTTCTCTTTCCCAGAAACGTTTCAGCTCGTGACAGGTGTTCCCACAGAATACCTCCCGGCGGATGTACTGATTGTTCATCCCCTAAAACAGAAAAGAGTAGCTAAACCCACATAAAACACAACCCCTTGGATTCTGCAGGATACAGGCATCCTTTTGAATCCTGACCGTGCTGTTCACCTGAGGGAGACTCTGGCCACCCCTCTGTGAGTGGGATAGCCATCGTGGCCTACCACTGGCTGCTGGCTTGTTGTCAGGACAGTGAGATGTGAGTGCAGAAGCTCCCCACACAGATGTGGCAGGCTTCCCACAAACAGGCACCTAGCAAATGCCTCCATTCTTCCTTCCACCTCATAGAAGAGTCATTTCTCAACTTATCAGAAGGAAATGTGGGTCAGGACACCTTGGTCCATTTAATTATCAAAACATCAGCACGAGCCAGACTCAGTGGTACATTACAGGTATGAGCCACTGTGTCTGGCCTCAAAACACTAACTTTTTTACATGAAGAAACTGCTCAACTCCCAGACTTCAGTGGATCCAGTGGAAGGGTCAGAGGCAGAGGCTGCAGATGCTTCTGTCTGCTGGTAGGGGATGCCTGTAGGAGAGCGTGGGGAGGTGTGAATCTGGAGAAGCTGGCCTGGCTTACCCCAAAGAGTTCATCCCAAGAAGGACCTTCAGTGGAGAGAGGGAGTCCAAACCTGCATTTTATGAGTTGTCCTGAGGGCTGAGACTGGAGCAGTCAGCGTAGAAGCAGGAGGAGTCACTGGGCTGTTGGAGGAGCCCAGGGAGAAAGATTAGGGTTGGAGGGACAAGACGGAGAATGGGTGGACTCACAGGGTCTCTCCTCAGGAGACTTCAGGTATAACAAGGAGCGAGGTGGGTACAAGCTCATCATAGGCACTGGCACTTGATGTGACAGGTGCTGAAATAGGGGAGACAAGGTGAGTCCCCTGTCTCAGTGAGGGGCTTGGGGTGTTTCCTAGGGGAGGGGACGTGCAGGGTGAGTGGGCAGGAGTAAGCAGGGTACAAGAAGTGGCCTGGACAGGGGCCTATGGTGAGAACCCCGCAGAACCAGAGCCACAGAAGCAGATGAGACTTGTCTGAGGGAGGAATGGGAGGGAGGACTGACCACAAAGGGGCATGGAACCCTTTTTAGTGTAATGGAAATGTTTTGTGTCTTGTTTATAGTGATAATTACGCAACAGTACACAATTGCTAAAACTTATCAAACTCTACATTTAAAAATGGGTGAGTTTTGGGCCGGGCTCGGTGGCTCAGTCTGTAATCCCAGCACTTTGGGAGGCCGAAGCGAGTGGATTGCCTGAGCCTGGGGGTTCGAGACCAGCCCGGGCAACTTGGCGAGACCTCATCTCTACAATAAATCAAAAACTAGCCAGAGAGGTGGTAGCGCGCACCTGTAATTCCGGCTACTTGGAAGGCTGAGGCGGAAGGATCGCCAGAGCCCAGCAGGTCGAGGCTGCGGTGGCCGGGAGCGTGCCACTGCCCTCAGCCTGGGTGACGGAGTGAGACTCAGACTCAAAAAAAAAAAAAAAAAATGGATGAGTTTTGTTATACATAAGTTATGCTTTAATAAAGGTAGGGAAAAGTTTTCTCCATCTTTGAACTACAGATCCATCCAAGTTTCCTGGCTGTAACCTACTGGGAGACTCTTAGCATTTCATCTTAGGGTTTAGCCTACTCCTTCACAGGTAACATGTGGTTCTGTATTTGTGTTTTGGTTTCTTGGAGTCTAAAATGAGGACAACAGCTCCTCCTAGCAGAAGTGTAGTGAGGAGATTATCAATAGTTGGAAAGCCCTTTGGAAACACAGGAGATTGTCCTTGACAAATAAATAGCTCTATTTCTCCGTATCTCGTCAACCAAAACGCCATCCAATCCGGTGTTTGAGAGAATGAGTACTATTGCGTTCTAGACAATCACCACCAACCTGGAAAAACTATAACTTCAATGACAACTATGAATTTTACTTAACAAAGTTAATTAGTTAATACTTAAAGAGAACCACTGCATGAAGTAAGAAGACATCAATTCAATGGAGAAAAATTTGTCGAACTTTTAGTCTGTGAGGTATCTATGCCACACATGGAATCAGCTAATGTTCAGTAAACCAACTAAAACAAAGAAACGTCTGTTCCCTGTGAGTGCTAATGCTGTGCCAACAATTTAGTTTTCTGAGTCTCAGGTTATGCAGAATAATAAGCCCAGATTGAGAAATCTTAGAGTGTTTTCTTTAAAATAAAAAAAAGAGTTTTGGCTTATACAGCCATTCTTAGGACTCTTGGCTATAGGGTCTCATTACACAGTTGCTGACTGTGCATATCACCAATGTACTTCTTGCTTTTTCAACACCACACAAGAGCAATTATTTTGTGATTATTTTTTCACATTTCAAAAAGTATGTTTAATCACTTATAAAATTTTTCTTTATGATCAGGACTTGAAATAGAATGGAAGGGCTCTAGTTCTAGGTAAGACAGAGGAAATACACTCCAACATGTCCCGCCAAAGAATGCAGTTCTGGATAGAATGCATAGTGCAGCTGCTTGAAGACTCTAAAAAGTAAGTAGTAGCAGGTGGATTGGGGAGAGAAAATCATAATTCTTTTTTTTTTTTTGAGTTGGAGTCTCACTCTGTCGCCCAGACTGGAGTGCAGTGGCCGCTCCCGGCCACCGCAGCCTCGACCGGCTGGGCTCTGGCAATCCTTCTGCCTCAACCTTCCAAGTAGCTGGAACTACAGGCGCGCGCTACCATGCCCGGCTAATTTTTTATTTATTGTAGAAATGAGGTCTCGCCAAGTTGCCCAGGTGGGTCTCGAACCCGTGGGCTCAGGCAATTCACTCACCTCAGCTTCCCAAAGCACGGGATTACAGGCTGAGCCACCAAAGCCTGGCTAGAATTCTTTTTTTTTTTCTTGCCAGAAAGCAGCATTTATTCGTGCTGGCACCAGCTCGGTAGATTCGCATCCAAAGGCTGAGCCAGAAAACCAGAATTCTAATTATCATCGAATGGCACCACATTTTCCGTTTTCACTCTGGTGTCCCCAGTATAGACTCAAAGCAACCAGCAACCTGAACTGGGAACATGGACAGAGAGAGCTTCAAGAAGTCCTTTGCTTCTAGGGAGAAAGAGGGCTCTTAATGCTCAGAGAATGGGGGAAATAACTTATTTTTCCAGGAACGCCCAACATGAGGGAGGTGGGGTGGCAGCCACAGAACATAACTGCAACAAGACCTGCAGAATCGTAAAACCCTGAGAGCATAAGAACTTGCTTTCTGATACAAGAGGTTGTGGTCCTAAGAGGGAGGAGGTTTCTTGGCCCAGAGGTGAGTATAGCTGCAGGGCGTGTGTGGCAGAACTAGTTATGTAAAATCCCAGATTTCTGAACAAAGGATTGAAAAAGGGGAGTCCAGAGAATTGTTGAGTACTGGAGATATCATGGAGGTGGGCAGACCTCAGGAAAGGGACTCCTTGGAGGTTGCTCATGAACTCCTGGATGCACACGCCTCCAGCTGTCTTTGTGTGAATCTGCTCCCAAAAAGCATACTGGAGACTTTTAGAACTAAATTAAAGAGTAGACCCCCACTAGTCTCTGGAATGGCTCCTGGGAGGCACACACATAACTGAAAGGCACTGCAAAGTCTTTCTAAAGGAAATTGATTTTGAAGCCACAACTCACAGAAGGTTGGTTGGACCTTGAGACCTGTACCCAACCACATGGATTGTCTGCTAAAACAAAAACATCAGCCGGGCTCGGTGGCTCAGCCTGTAATCCCGCACCTTTGGGAGGCTGAGGTGAGTGGATTGCCTGAGCCCATGGGTTCGAGACCCGCCTGGACAGGCGAGACCTCATCTCTACCATAAATCAAAAAAGTAGCGCACGCCTGTAGTTACAGCTACTTGGAAGGCTGAAGCAGAAGGATCGCCGGAGCCCAGCAGGTCGAGGCTGCGGTGGCTGAGAGCGGCCACTGCACTCCAGTCTGGGCGACAATGAGACTCCAACTCAAAAAAAAACCAAACAAAAACAACAACATGTCCCAAAGGATATAAGACTCAAAGTGTAATAACATGATATTCAAAATGTCTAGGCTAGAACTCACAATTACTCAACATACAAAGAACAAGAAAAATCTCAGCTAGCATGAGGAAAGAAAATCAACAGATGCCAACAAAAATTCACATGGATATTCTGAATATACAAAGACTTAGGACAGCTAAAAATACTCCAAGAAACAAGCAAACACCTTAAAGTGAAATGGAACAGTAAGTGCCAGCAAAGAAATAAACATCTATATTAGAGGCTCCCGTGTGGTGGCTCACGCCTGTAATTCCAGCACTTTAGGAGGTGGAGGCAAGTGGATTGCCTGAGCCCAAGGGGTAGAGACCAGCCTGGGCAACTTGACGAGACCTCATCTCTACACTAAATCAAAAAATTAGGCAGGCATGGTGGCATGCACCTGTGGTTCCAGCTTTTTTTTTTTTTCTGAGTTGGAATCTCA